AGGTTTTAATATGCCTCTGCACATGTGCGATGGGTTGTAAAAATTCCCTGTTTATGTATTACTAATAAAAATAATAATTATTTTTTTTTATATATTATGTGTTTTTATAAGCGTGAAACACAAAAGAATAACTACAACTCTTGTTTGGTCTCAAATTCGAACAAACTAGAGCACTTAATCAGATTTTATTTTTAATTGGATTAACGATTAATGATTAAAATTAATTAATCGTAATCAAAACCGACGATTAACGATTAAAAAATTTAATCATTAATCGTACAGATGATTACGATTAATTAATTTTAATCTTTAATCGCGATTAACATTTTAATCGTTAATTTTTAATCCTTAATCAGATTAAAATTTTGCCAACACTGCATGTGCTCAGCTCACTGTTGCCAAGGTCGTGCATTTTGCACTAAATTTAGTGCTTTTGGGAAACCAAAAAGCCAAAATAATTGGAATTCAATGCTTGGTGCGTTATTTAGTGATGCTTTTTTAATTTAAGCAAACCGAATGCATAGGTGCATATGTACCTAGGTGCAGTTTGCCCGCGACGTCGACTGCGTGCACCTCTGCGGTGCATCCCTACCTTAGTGAATGATCGACCTATCTCGGCAGCCAGTTCGATACCGTCCTATCTCAGAAAACTTTTCAAGAACATCCTACTTCAGATGTTTATTGAAAAGTACACTATCTCAGAATTGAGTTGCAGAACGTCCTATCTCATAATTTGCGTCAAAAACGCAATGAATCAAAGGTGATCAATGTGGGTCCATTGATCTTGTATTTAGTTGGTTGTTATAGTTTTTGCCTTGTTAATATACCTCCCGTAAGACATATCTGCTCAAAAAGTCGGTTATTTTTTTGTCTCACCCGTGGCAGAAGAAACAACTTACAATTAAGTTGGAATTGTTTTCGTAATTGGTAGTCATTAATTCTTTATTTAGGTGCAGAAATTCATAATTCCTGAGTAATTTTTGGTTAAATTTAAAAAAGAAAGAAACTTTTTGCTCTACAAATATCCCATCCGTGACGACGGAATACCCCCATATACATAGATACACGTTGTATGAATTAAAAAAAAATAATAATAATTAAAACATTAGAAAAAGGTGGGAGAACTTGGAATCAGATAGTATTTTCGCCTGTCAAAAGGCAATAGGCACCAAGTAATTCTGGTGTTAGCGTCAATGAAACTTACCAGTTATTATTCCATTGTCAGATGTCACGTCATCTTTCCAATAAACAACATACATACCTAATTCTACACCTTTTTCAGTTTTAGTTCAGAAAATGGCAATTCATATTCAGAAATTCCATTTCAAATTCAGAAAGTTACAATTCAAACTCAGAATTTCCATTTTAAATTCAGAAAAGTGCATTTCAAGTTCAGAAAATTTTCATTTCAAATTCAGAAATTTCCAATTTAAATTCAGAAAATTTCGTATTCACTGTACGATTTTGAGATTTTAAGTTGTATCTTCGTTTGGGACCATATTCGCCTATACTAAATCCAGAAGAAACAATATGGTCTAAAATGAGTAATTTGTCAAACCAAGTATGGATGTGCCCCTTGTTCAGGGTCCAGGATTAATTTAAATGAGCTGTTAACAGGGCTGCCAACTAATACTAATAATAGATTGGCGCTTACACGTATGTTAGTGTTTGGCCGAGCTTCTCCTCCGATTTGTGGCGAGCGCCTTGATGTTGTCACACAAAGAGGAGGGACCTACAGTTTGACGCTGACTCCGAACGGCGATTGTATTGCAATAATACGCTGTTTTTCATAGCAGAAATACACTCGGAGGTTTGCCATTGCCTGACGAGGGTCGACCACTGTTAATAAAAAACCTTTTTTCTACATTGTTTTTTTCGCAATGTTGCTTTGACCAGGGCTTGAACCCTGGCGCTGCGGAGTGGAAGCGCGCACTGCTTACCACTATACCACAGCGGCTGCCAACTATCCTTCGCTATAAGGTGCCATATTGAGTGCCAAAATGTGCCAAATAGAAAAATAAAAGTGGCAAAAAAGTTGTTATGCTTTTTCATATTTCCCATTTAGCAATAAAATAAGAACCCCATTTCTAAAACAAAAGTCCAATGCCAAAATAAGATAAGCCAGTTGAATAACCTTTAGAAATTAAAAAATTTGAGTTGAGAAAAAGAAGTACACTCTAAAAAAAAATCTGTAAATTTCCTAGCTAAAAGTAGGTTACTGATTTCCTACCTTATTATTCGCGAAATTACATGCTCGATTATTCAACGAATAGTTTTTTTAAATTTCGGACTTTTTAGATTGTAATATAGCTGCTATGGTGTGCGTAAATTTACTACTGAAGTGTGTCCAAGCTACAAAATACACATCTGCTCTTTGATTTCATCCGCAGAATTGTGTAAAGTCGCAAACACAAAGGATTTTTACACACGACAATGTGTAAACAAGATAAATACATATTCGTCGTGTAAATTTACCAAAAAATTTAAAAAATAAGCAAAAATAAGCAAAAATATACTCGATTTACAGTCGGATTTTTAAACCGATTTTTTAGAGTGTACAAATAAAGGATTTCACAAAAACGTATTGAAATATTACTATTTTTCAAAAGTACCAAATTGAAAAATTAAGTGCCATTTGATGTAAAATAGGGTTTGGCACCGTTTGATCCAAGTTGGCAGCCCTGGCTGTTAAGGCGTCGAAACACCGAATACGGACAAATACAGGACATTAAAATAAATACAGAACATTTGGTGTCCCGTATAAAATAAATAAATTACCAGGACAATGTGTCAAAAAAGAGAACTGTTCCGTATAATACAGGACTAGGGATGCAAATGATGCATCGATGTTTTTGAAACATCGATAATATCGGTTCAATTTTCGATGTTTGCCATCGATGTTTACAATTTACTAACATCGCGAAATTGACGATACGTCGATGGAAGTTTTACCGATGTTTTAAACATCGACTTTAAGGAGACTCTCCGACTTTCTTTCGGTATGTTTGACTGACCTTAAATTTATTATCCATTCAGAATTTTTTTTTGTTATTCATGACCTTATGACAATTATATTCAACAATTTTATTGAGCTTGAGGCCATTTCTTATGAAAAATGTTATTGAAAATCAACAATAATTTACAAAAGGTAGAAGTTATAGCTGCTATTTCGGAGACCACCACATCTCCTCAGTGACCGCGCTTGAAGAAGTCTGATTAGTAGATGTGGTGATCTCCCAAATAGCAGCTATAACTTCTTAACTTTGTAAATTGTTGTTGCTTTTCCACAATATTTTTCATAAAAAACGGCCCCAAGCTTAACAAAATTGTTGGATTCATTCTGAATACTAATAACCTAGCCGTTAAAAAAGGAACCAAACACCCCTTAGAATTTCAACAAGATCAGGCCTAATATCTTTAGGCCCGAACAAACTTACGATGGTATGCATTTTGATTCTAATAATAGAAAGGGTATAGAAAGGATAATAAAATACAGGAAAATACATTCATAATTATTAATATTCAACATTGCTTTAAATTTAACTAGAAATGAACAAATTGTAAAACATCGGAAACCATCGATGTTATTCTGGCGATATATTTTAGCATCGATGTTCTTTTCTCCGATGCATAGAAACATCGATGTATCGATGTTACTGCTCAAAATTTGCATCCCTATACAGGACGGATGGTCACCGTAGCTATGCACTATGCATTATGACATTTTCATGCAATGCCGTAAATAATTTAATTACATACTTACGTATGTACATAATATGTGCCTTTTTAATGTGCTGCTTTATAAAATTGGAACTGAATGAGTTAGTATATGACTTCCCGCCATCGTTATTTGTGTTATTTCCACTGATTTATTTTATTAGTGATGCTAAATATAGTATGGAAATATGACAAGGTTTTTTAAAACCACTCTCAATTAGTTCCGGTGTAATAAAATGATGCTAAAATACAAGATATGTATGAGTGTATGTATATTTAAATCACAGATAAAATATTGTCTCAAATAGTACATATTTTCCAAAATTTTTTGTTTTTGACGGGAAAATGCAAGTAAATGAGTTCAAACGGTATCATAACTTTAAAATTCGTGTTCGTATTCATATGGTGAAAAAAGGTTATAAAACCGCGAACGGGGGAGAATAGAACTGAAAAAATTAAATAAAAAAATTAATTTATATAAGTATTAAAAGTAAATATATTGTATGGGGGAAAAATCTATCACGTCCGTTATCACTTTTTAATGCAAAATTAAATCAACAATGGATTGCTTCCGAATAACAATTAATTGATTGTAATAGTCCGTAATTTGACTTTGTTTAAAGAATATTTAGGAAACGGAAACCTCAAAGGAATCACAGAGTTTTGCTTATTTTTACATGTACTCTGAAACCACTTCTGTTTGTTTCTGTCACGTCCGTTATGATGTCCTTTTCATCGATTTTCTCGGCACCAGTGTTCCAAGCGCACCTAATTTGTTTGTCAACCAGGAGACGATATAAAAGCTATACAATGGCAAATTTTGTTTATAAGTGACTTCCGTTTTCGTATGATTTATATAACTCTGGAGTGGTAGGAATGTCTCGTCCGACATCATGGAAACACCCATATATCATCTCTCCTAATTTTTTATTTCATCTTCAACCTTCTATTTACAATATTGAAATTAATTGAATCTTTATGTTTTACCTAATCTTACAACAATTTACTAGATCCAAACATGTATGCTTACTATTAAAAGAAATGCTGATATTTTTGTTCCTTTTTCTTCTACGAACTAACGCTCTTGCTATAACAAAAGATTTTCTTTTCGTTTTTTCACAGGTGCCGCCCACTAATCAAACCAAACTCGAGGGCGAAAAGGTGATATTCTCGTGCGAAGCGAAAGCAATGCCCGGCAATGTCACCGTTAGATGGTTTCGCGAGGGCTCTCCCGTACGGGAGGTGGCCTCACTGGAGACGCGCGTCACAATACGCAAGGACGGTTCGCTAATTATAAATCCAGTTAGCGCTGACGATTCCGGTCAATATTTGTGCGAGGTGACGAATGGCATTGGAGATCCGCAAAGTGCTTCGGCTTATTTAAATGTTGAATGTAAGTACATAATAAATGAAGAATTGTCAAATTATATTTGCAAATTATATGAAATTCTTGCTAGTATTTAGTGTTAACTGTACTGATTTTATTTTATAATCGCAACATACATAGTAAGTTATCGAGTCACAACAATAAAAAAAAATACAAATAGTAAATTTATCAATCAAAACTCAGCGAATTTTTCCGGATATTTATTTGATTTCGATTTTGTAGACTTTTTATCTTCAGTATACTTATCGAAATTCGAAAGATCTTCCATATTTGTGATAACTGGTACATAAGGTGGCAATATTTGTTGGTTTAATAGACCATACCAATCGATGCCTTTGAACCATTCGTGATTTTTAATATCCTTCTGTGCATTAGCCATACAACCGAGTCTTTTTTTAAAAGATAATCGTATTTTAGTGGTTTTTTTTTTTAAATAAGCAGACAAATTTTACGTATTTCACCTTTTTGAGGGATCTACAATCAATAATCGTTGAACTAAGTCCTTTAGCGCTGGTGGAAACATTTGTGGTATTTTGTAAGTGCCATCACAAATTTTACCATACATTCCCATCATGTCCCGATTGTATTCGGCAAATGGGGAACTGCCAGCCACGAATTCATAGATTAATACGCCGAAGGCCCACCAATCGACGCTGGTAGAGTAGGGTTTGGATTTAATTATCTCAGGTGCCAGATATTCCGGTGTGCCACACAATGTCAGCGTACGTGTTTCCACTCTCTTTAAAATAAATGAGAAAAGAAAGAAAAAACACATTTAATGCATATACTACAATTTTATTTGGGTAATTCAAGGAGCTCAACCACCCATCGAAGTAAAACCGTACACCGTGTCAGCTGAAACGACCTATGTACCTATATACCGACAAGAAAAGTCCTTAATTAAAAAATAAAATTTTTAATCCAAATAAAATTAGATCTTTTAAAACATATTTCAGATATAAAGCCTTTTCAAATCCATTTCGATCGATACTCATCATTTAATAATTCATGCAACTTATTGAATAATTTGATTGCTAGGTTTTTAACGCGTGGCAACCCTCTTCAAATATTTTAAATGTTTAAACTAAAGATTTCTTAACACTCTTGCGTTTGACTCCCGTATTTTTATATTTCATATAATTTTTGTATTAGTTAATTAAATAAAACCTTTTTGGCAGGTGGCGGCCATCTTCGAAAGTATTTTCAAGCTGAAATCTTGTTAACATACATATTTTAATTAACTGGTGAATTAAGTTGAATTTGATATTTTACACTTGTGGTAATCCCGCTAAATATAGTTCAGAAATAAAGGATTCGAATAATCATTAAATAATTTCAATTTAACTTTGAAAGAGGTGGCAACCCTCTTCCAACACCTCGAAAAATATTCTTAGTATTCAAAGAGATTTGTTAACACTTTTTCGTTTGACATCCATATTTTAATATTTCATATAACTTATTAATAAGTTAAGTAAATTCAACATTTCAAGCAGATGGCAACCCTGTTCAAAATATTTTCAGACGATTATCTTCTGAAATTCCTTTCGCGTGGCACCCATATTTATGGTGATACATATTCCGCTTACCTAATTCCCTTAATTAATTAAATTTGATTTTTTAAACCGTTGGCAACCTACAGCTAAATTCAGAAACCAAGTTTTTTAAATACTTTCTATTGGTGCCCATTTTGTAATACTTGATTTATTTTTTTAAATAATTTTAATATAATTTTTTAAAAGGTGGCAGCTCTTTTCAAAAAAGTAAGACTTTATTGCACATCTGCAGTCCAAGCTTTTTAATTTGACAACTCATTTTGGAAAATCGAACGAACGGTGCGGATATGATGGCATTGACTACACTGGTTTACAGAATTTGATTTAAAAACACCCTATCTCGTAATTCGGTTCAAAAATGCCCTATCTCAGCTGAAAATACATTGAAAATGTGTTGAGATAGAGCGTTTTTGAATCGGCAACTGAGATAGGGCATTCCTCAACCAAATTCTGAAGTAGGGCGTTCCTGAAAAGTTTTCTGAGATAGAGCGTTTTCGAACTGGCTACCGAGATAGGTCGATCTTCCATGCATGTGTCGATATGTATGTGCAGTAGGGTATTCCTTAAAAATCAAATGAAGGATTTTTCTCTGTCTCACCCCACAATCGGTAATACCACGGACAAAGGTATCATATCTCCATAGAGGAATTTAAACTTTTCCCCTTGTGCCACACAAGGCGTGACCATCCCCTATCGGGAGCAAAATTTATATGTGATTCGACTATAGTTGCACCGACGTAGGGATTGAGGTTCAGGAAATCTGATTCAAAAATATTCTTCATTCATTTAAGGACCGCCCTAATGTACATGCATGCATGTATGTACATATGTATGCATCTTCAAATTTTTCATACTACTTACCTTAGCAAAACCAAAATCTGTAAGCTTGAGATAGCCTCTCTTATCAATCAATAAATTCTCTGGCTTTAAATCGCGATACAGCAATTGCAAATTGTGCAGATATTCCAAAGCAAGCAGCACTTGTGAGGCATAAAAACGTGCTTGTTTCTCAGAAAATTTACGCACCCTATGTGGGGGGAGGGGGGGGTTTAATCCATTGAACCTTTAGTATAAATTTAAAGCAAACCAAAAAAAGTATTTCATACTTGCGATGATAGGTAAAAAGTTCGCCGCCATTTATGAACGGCAAGCCGAAGATTAAGTTATCAAAGTCCTTTCGACAAAATTCCATCATAACGACAAAAGGGAAATCTATGCTGAGTAGCACGCGTTTCTCATTGAATATATGTGGCACTTGTTTCGTTCTAACGACCATTTCTTTCAGCACAAATTTGGCAGCATAGTAATTACCCGTCGATTTTTCGCGCACTAATTTCTAATAAAAAAAAACAATGCACAGCAACTGCTATTATTTTTTGTTTATAACTATCTAAAATCGTATCTATACGCACCACTCTACCAAACGAGCCTAATCCAATCGTAGCCAATTCATCGAAGCCTTGCACACCCGTGTCCGGAGATGGTGTCATTTTTTCCCATTTTTTAAGAAAACTTTCCTTGAACATTACAAGCATCATATCGTAATCAACATTGCCACTGAATCTGGTATTTATAGCTGCAATCTCAAAGTGCATTCGAAAATGCAAACGTATTGAAAAAGATTGAAAAAAGAAAATAATTCGGCGTACATACCTTTGTTAGCTTTTTCTATAGCAATATGTTTCATTTGGCCTTCACTAATATCCGTCTGGGATCTTTGCATGGGCACCAGTTCCATTTGATGCGCCATTTTGGTCGAGATAATCAGTAATCTTATAAATTCTTAGCGTGCTAAATTCTCAAAAAAAAAACAACAATGAATGAAAAAAATTAACTTCAAAACTGTAATATTTACATTTGTAAAATTTTGAATCCAATCAGAAAAATTCTTATATAGAAAAATATAAAAAAGAAGTATTGTTAAGTGTTTTCAAAAATGGTATTACTTATGTAGTTTTTACTTAAATGGATTTTGAGCCTCTTTATTTTTAATTTTAACTATTTATCCATAACCAATTTTTTTACCGATTTCAATTCACTTAATTGAGGACATACATAAATAATAATATTATTACAAAGTGGGTATACAACTAAAGTAGGCTTACAAAATATTGGTTTCCAAAACACTTTTGAATAGGGCTGCGATCTGGTTAAAAATTTTAATTCCATTAAATTTATAAGGTAAATAAGTTGTTGTACTAAGGGTGCCAAAATAAATTGGTTTACAAAGCTTGATTTGAAAAATATTCCTTAACATGGTTGCCACCTGTTTAAATAAATTCGATTGATATTATTATATTACAAATATTACTATACAAACTAAAATGTTTTAAGAGAGCTTAATTCTACATAATCTACATAATACCATGTTTGGGCCCCGGCGAAGTAGATCAGCCATTATCGATAGTTTCGTCTTGGAGTATTCATTTCCTACGACTTCCTACGATTTTCATATCGAGACGGGAGCAACACTCATATGTACGCGCCAAGCGCTCATAGAAGAAATTCTTGCACGCCCCGTCCTTCTCTTACGTCGGGGCATGAGCGTAATGAGCAGATGACCGAGATGTTGAAGAATCTCGCTATGATGCGGATTTTGGCTAGACGTTCGGCCACCGGGGTCAACGATAGTACTCGGCGACGTAGTCTCTCTCTCACCACAAATCAAATACCGGATTCGCGCCTCTTTACATGGCAGCTGTAGTAGCTGTCGATAGAGCCCAGGCATTGTTTGCCTTGCCCCGTCCAAAACAATTCTTTGATGGCGAGGACATCAACCAGCCAGGCAGAGAAACCTTCCCCATTAAGAGTCCGGTCCAAGTACATGCCCTCAAATCGGTGTCTTTTAAATGAGTGCCGTGGTCGTCATCAAAACGGAGGTCTCATCCGAGGCTTTGTTTGAATTCTTCACTAGAAGTTGTTTTTACGTTACGGGTCCGAAACTTAGCGCCCAACCTACTGCTGGAAGACTGGTGTTTTGTTAACCGAATACACGTGTATATAGCGACAGGATTTTTTAAACTTAAGAATTTTACAACAAAAGATGAATTTTTTGTTAGAAATCATTAAAAATTTGTTACCAAAGGCATTACTTGTTTTTATGCTAAGAAAAAAAAAAACGATAACTGATGTGAACTGTTTATTAGTGCCGCACCGAATATTCGGGTTACCGAAAAGTTCGGCCAAAAGTTCGAAGTTTCATCCTTTGGCAATCGAGCCGTCAACTTCTCGAAAGATTAAAGAAACTTCGATTCGATCTGTTCATTCAGGCATTTTATTTTAGAGGGTGTAGAAATCTGGCTCATATTACATCTAAAAAGCAGTCATTAGAAAATTTAATATTTTAGGAATTATTTTTATTTTTATAAATTTCTTCTTTTCTTCTTTTGTTGTGGACGGATTTCTGATTGGAGTCAAAAGTATAGATGAATTGGGGTAACCTGCGTCTCCGACTACACTATGTTCAGATTTGCTTTCCAATAAACAAGTATTTAGTTAGCAGTGGTCTCAGTTTCCAGCGTCATGTCTGGAGTCACATGGCCTTGCAACTGTGTCAATAATCTTACGATCTGCATCACAAACAATCAATGCAACTTGTTATCGCATTTGCTTATAACATGTTGGGGTTTTTTTGGTTAGCAACTAGAACATATAGAGAAAGGGGTCGATTCTTTGATGCTCTAATTTATTTAGAGCCGACTTTAGTTTGGCTATGACTACAGGCCGTTATCTTTACATACATTACTTTGAGCTAATTTAGCATAGATTTGTAATGCATGTATATTTATGAGATCTTCTGCATACTCTGCTCTTCCAGATCCTGCCAAAGTGACCTTCACACCCACTGTACAGTATCTACCCTTCCGTTTGGCGGGCGTCGTTCAATGTTACATTAAATCCAATCCTATACTACAATATGTCACCTGGACCAAAGATAAGCGCCTCCTCGAGCCGTATCAAATGAAAGACATTGTCGTGATGGCCAACGGATCATTGCTTTTTACGCGCGTCAACGAGGATCATCAGGGCCGCTACACCTGCACACCGTACAATGCGCAAGGCACTCAGGGGTCGTCCGGTCCCATGGAGGTGCTGGTGCGCAAGCCGCCCACATTCACCGTCGAACCCGAATCGCTGTATCAGCGCAAGGTGGGCGACAGTGTGGAAATGCATTGCGATGCCATCGAAGCGGAGGGCACACAACGACCAACCATCAAATGGCAACGGCAAGATGGCGGCGAATTGACCGAATCACAACGTACGCGCGCCAAAGTGTCTGGTGGCAATATAACAATTGAAAATTTACGCGGCGAAGACTTTGGCTACTATCAGTGTGTCGTCTCGAATGAAGTGGCCACATTGATGTCAGTGACACAGCTGGTTATCGAAGGTACACAACCGCATGCGCCATACAACATCACCGGCAAGGCGACTGAGTCGTCGATTACGTTGCAGTGGATGCCCGGCTATAGTGGCGGCTCTGAGTACAAACAGGACTATACGATTTGGTATCGCGAGGCTGGCGCTGCCGACTGGCAGACCATTTCGGTGACCCCGTCGGGCAGCACGCAAGTGACGATCAACGGTTTGGCTTCGGGTACTACGTACGAATTTCAGATAGTCGGTCGAAATGTGCTCGGCGATGGACTGATGAGCAAGGTGATGACGGTGCGAACTTTAGGTGAGTTAAAGTTTTAGTCAATTTCTTCTTGTTATTTGTTAATTCTAAAACATCATTGCACAATCTGTAAACATAAAAATGCGAAGAAAGTGAGGAGAGTGCGTCGTATGGGTGAAGGGGGAAAAGGTGAAGTAACTAAAGAAAACAAGAATTTTAATAAATAATTAGTATTGAGAATTGGTAAGGTTCATAAAAAAAAAATTTTTCTCCAAACAAATTTTGGTATTAAAAATGTTTAAGGTAAATTTTATCTGTGAATTTAAGTCGATTTTAAAGCGTTTTATTAAAATTTTCCGTTTTGGAAAAAAAAATTGTTTCGTGCTAGTCAACCTACTGAAAATTTAGAAATTTTGAGACTTTATCAAATTTCCTTATTTTTTTAAATTATTTTTTAATGAATTTGAATTTTTCTTAATTACTGATTTTTTTTAATAATTTAGAAAAAAAAATTGTATTTTTTAAATAGAGAAAATTTCTTGTAACTACCTCAATAATTTAGCAAAAAAGCACTCCACCCCTCACACTCATTTTCTTTGCATTACTATCTATAAAACTATATTTAACGAAAACAAAAATTCTTGCATTTTCTCTCTTTTTTCTCTCTTTCCTCAACAACATTTATATAAATATCAATGCATTGATTTATGTGCCACTCATATAACTCTATCATCATCTTTCGTCTTAAACTGAAACCATAAAAAATTTCAAAAAAAAAAAAAACTAAATACAAATTATTTTGAATCGCTAAACATTCACAACTACAACAAAATCGATCAACAAAATAAAACAAATATGGACATTTGAATTTCATTGAAAAATTGTAAATTCAAATGCCTTTAGAAGATGCTCCGGCAGCGCCACGTAATGTCAAGGCTGCAACACAACCGCCAGATCATATTTTTCAACTTATGCCAGACGAAGCTGGTAAGCGAACGAACGTCTCCCGAATACGAAAAAATTGTAAATTAAATTTGCAGAGAACCTAGCGCTACTTTGGGCAATGTACTTCGATTTAAGTAATGAGAAAATTGTTTTTTAATCGAAGCATTGTCCAGTAGTAGGTTTTTTTTTTATTCTGGTTTACGTTTTTAACCTTTGCTTTCATTTAAGTTTTTGTTTTGGTTAGATTTTAAAGCTATTCGCTTGTTCCATCGGTATGGTTATTACGCAAGGCTTTTTCAACAAGTTCATAGTGAATAAGCTCATACGATTAAATTGACTATTATCTAAGAATAGAGGTGATATTTTTGAAAAAAAAAATTCACACTCTTTTCTATGATTTTTTTTTTTTATTTGATGAGCTCAGTCATCTCTTGGACGATTCTCATTTATGATTTAGTTAAGGCGAATCAATATAAGGTGATAACGGAATTACAAAAAAAAATTTACCTACATGTATTTTGTTTTTGCTTTGGCGGCGTAAACTATCAAAATCTGTAAGAGTGTGTGTGGAAATGCAAACAGAATTTTTCAATTTGACATTCGAAGCCGTGAAACCATTGCACAAAATCAGCTGATCTAGTAACAACACCTTATATAATTTCTCTCACTTTATAGTTTAAAATTTTTGGTATGTGTATGGGTAACTTTTTTCATATAAATAATAAATCGGGGTATACGAAAACAGACTCGAGCTCAATTCAAAAGTTACCTTCGTATAGGGACGTGTAAAAAAATTCCGGCGAAGAAAGACGCGTAAATCTGTTTGACGGCGAAGAAGCACACGTCATGAAAATTTATTGGAATATTCGCTTTTTAGGCTTTGGTCACGTGTCTTTCTTAAGCGCCAAAAAAGTCTATGCGTCTTTCTTCGACTTATTTTTTGACGCATTCTTTTTGGCCGTCAAAACACTCGTGTGTCTTTGTTCGTACGCTCCGACGAATAATTAGTGTAGTTAAAGGTACTGTCATTTTCTATTCCTTCGGTCTCAAATAGTCGGTCGACACTTTGGCTTGTAGTGATAATTCGCTTGATAAGTCCATGGTACCATCCGAAACTCTCACAGCTGGGAGGTGGTCCAAGGTTTTCCCAGTCCACCGGAGCACTCCAAGAGTTTGGTAGCCGCGCG